GGAATGACCCCAATCCCGTCAACTAGAAAACACCCACCCGCCATGTGTCTGGAGAGCCCCTAAAGATGGGGAAGCTATAAAAAGCATGGTACCGATCAACTCAGCACTCAGGGGCCAGTCACCTGGGAGTGTGGGGTAGGGGTGAGAGTGAGGAGGGCATGCAGGGACCCTGTAGGCTCATTTTCTGAACTGGCTGGTGGTTCATGACATCATATTTCTTTTAATTCTACTTCTTTTATAACTACAATTTTGAATCTATATAATAATAAAAATCATTAAAATCAAGTTGGTATCTAGGTACATACAAGGCAGAGAGGGCACTATCCTGAGGGAGGAGCTGGGTCCAGGCCTCTTCTCCACTCTGTCTCCTCCAGGTCCCCGACTGTCCCGTCTGCCTACCTGTTGGCCACCTGTGGAAGAGTGGACATCCCCTGAGAGTTCACTATGTGAGTGGTGTGTTGGGTACTTTAATCCTTCACTATGAAGGAGCTTCCACAATAAGGAACAGAGATCTAGGAAGTCTTCTCATTTGTCCATGTCCTGGGGCTAACAAGTGGTGAGGCTGAAGTCAGAACTCAGGTGTGGTGAGCTCCTGTCCTGGTTCATGTGTTCCAGTGTGTAAGGAGCTGCCAGGTGGGCTGAACGCTCACACCTACAGGCACCACCTCTTGGAGGATGTGATAAGAGCCTGCAGCACAGGACCCAGGGTGGTGGGAAGGGGTGTCGTTCACTCCTCACTTTCATCTACAGTCTTTAAAATATATATATATATATATATATATATATATATATATTTTTTTTTTTTTTTTTTTTTTTTTGCTGAGCAGGGTCTTAGTTGTAGCACGTGGGATCTTCATTGCTACGTGTGGGATCTTTCAGTTGTGGCATATGGGCTCTTAGTCGCGGCATGCGGGATCTAGTTCCCTGACCAGGGATTGAACCTGGGCCCCCTGCACTGGGAGCATGGAGTCCCAACCACTGGACCACCAGGGAAGTCCGTTTTAAAAAAAAAAATTTTTTTTTAATTTATTTATTTGGCTGTGCCAGGTCTTAGCTGAAGCACAAGGGATCTTCATTGCTGCATGAGGGATCTTTAGTTGCGGCATGCGAACTCTTAGTTGCAGCACCTGGGATAGTTCCCTGACCAGGGATTGAATCTGGGCCCCCTGCATTGGGAGCATGGAGTCTTAGCCACTGGACCACCAGGGAAGTCCCTCATCTACAGTCTTTTGATTAAGGGACTGTAGGAGGCTGGCTACACTGACCTTGGAGAGAGCAGAGCTGAAGCCCTGTCTGCAGACTTGCTTCATATTAGCTCTTTGGAATACTCATACCATTTTATCTTCTAGGAACATGACTGATTCTCAAAGGAAGATTCCCAGACCTCATGACTTCCCTAGATAGCCACTTCATTAACATGTTTCGCAAAAGAAACAACTCCCTGTGCCTGATTATTTTTCAACTTTTATCACTGAAATACAAAAGATCCCCAGGACTTCCCTGGCAGTCCAGTGGTTAAGACTCCACACTTCTACTGCAGGGGGCATGGGTTCGATCCCTGGTCAGGGAACTAAGATCCCACATGCAAGGCCAAATAAAGAAAGAAAGAAAGAATCCCTAAACTTCCACCAGATAACTGGCGCAAGTCCCTATTCAATCTTCCTGCATCTGGGTTAGTGGAAACGGATTAGCCATCAATGGTTCCATAGAAGCTACAGGGGAATAGGACCTGTGGCCAACCAGCAAAACTTACAGATTTTCTTGTAAAAAGAGAAACGAATTCAGTTCACAGGAACCTTTTATGGCATGCCCACCTTGTTGAAGACCCAAATCTCGCCGTTCACAGTGGGCCTGGGCACCCCATGCCCATTGTAGTGGAAGAGGACCCGCTCCTCCTTGGCATTTCGACGTAAAGACGTGCAAAGCTTCTTCACTTCATCCACAGTTGGATCGAGGCTCTGCTTGTACCGCGCCTGTTGCAGGAGAAAAAATTAAGAAACTTATCATGGGCTCATGGGAATACCTAGAATTAAAACTCCATCCTGGGGCTTCCCTGGTGGCACAGTGGTTAGGAATCTGCCTGCCAATGCAGGGGACACAGGTTCGAGCCCTGGTCCGGGAAGATCC